CATCGACCAGACTACACAGCGCAATAACCCAGAAGACGGAAATCTTCATACTAACCGCTGTGAGAACCTCAAGTCTTACACAGTAATAATGTAGTTTTGACATGTTAAAACAGAAAACCTACAAGAGCTTGGATTATTTTGAGAGGCTATGGAGACAGATGATTGTGACTTACCCTGTGCTTTATATTGTTTGTATCTCAGAATGTGACTATGTGAGTGTAAGGAATGTGAGCTAGGCACAGTTCTTTTATATTTCCCCAGATATTGTGTTTGTAGTATTGAATACCAAACAGTAGTATTTAAATTAGGGAAGTGTACACTGAGGTAGACAATGAAAACTGTGGTATAGATGTTTGGATGCATTCTATCTGCTGAGCCACTCCTTAGATGATCTGATGTGAAGAAGAAAGACAGACTGAAATCAGTGGTGCTAGAAGTAGAGAAAATGTGTGTACAATATTACAATTAAAAGGCAGACCAGTTTGCTAAAGGTGTTGAAAATATGGATCAGCAGTAATTGCTTTAGTCCATATTTCAAATGAGAGATATTTAAATGGATCTGTTGCTGCCGAGAACATATTAACATGTGACCTAACAATAAGATAGCTAATGTAAAAAGTGATCAGTAATGATGTTAAGTACGAAAATGTTCTTTATAAAGCCCCAAAGAGTAATTTGAAGTGAGATATTTTTTGTTTTTGAAGACTTTGGTATGATATGGAATAGAATGGTTTCAGTGGAAAAAGTTCTGTTTGACAGATAATGTATGGATGTAATTTTGTTTAATGTGAATTTGTGATGTTACCGAAGAAATAAATATATTATATTCAGATAATTTTTTTTAGAGAATGTTATGTTGTAACTAAAATGAGGGACATACTTGCAAGGAACTATGAAAAGGGATGGTGAGATTATGATGCAGAAGGGATGGGTAAGAAATAAGTGTAGAAAAAGGATAAAGGAAAGGTTGAAAAGGGGAGAGGAATGTTGATGGGACAGACAAGTGAAAATAATGGGAAGGGAGGAAACATAAAAAAAAGGGATAAATGAAAGGAGGAAGGAGTGAGGGGTTAAGATATGAAAGAAATATTTTCCTGTTGAGTATGAATGGGCTCTTACAGTGTGTGTATGTGCACACACACGCATAAAACACACCACCACACACATACATAGAGTTTAAAATAGTGCTAACCTAATTTTGATTGCTTATGTTCAGGTTTGTTGGTGGTTTCCTCACATTGACACCTGAATTCTGCTTTGTGGTGGAGGATGATGTTGGTTTGGTAGGTTATGCTTTAGCTGCTCTGGATTCAAAACAGTTTCACAAGAAACTTGAGCTTTCCTGGATTCCTGAAATGTGCCATAAATATCCCAAGCCTGAGAAGAGTTCTGGGGAAACACTGTCCAACACAGAGGTAAATATTCACTTCCGGAAAATTTGTGTCTGCCAGTACCACTCAGTCACTTTTCAGCAATATGTGCTACAGCTTTACATGTTATTTAAACTAACATCATGTGCAACCCATCTCAAAGATTTTGTTCACATTTTTAGTGCTCATCTTGCAACATGTCCAGTTTCTGAGAATGTGATATCTTGTGAAACCTAGCCACTTTAATACTCAGAAAGGAAAAGCAACTTTAGTCACTCTTATATTTCCTTTTCCTTTATTCCATTTTAATTTACTGTGATGCCATTTTCTTTTTGTCAAACGTAATGTTATCTTTCTGTATTCATTAGCTACTGTAATTTGTGATATTGTATTTTGAAATAAACATGGCATCTTGTTGCAAATGGATTATTTTACACATTCATTTAGTACAGAAATAATAGTTGGGTGTGTGTGTGTAAGTCAATGAAATTAAATTCTTGTACATTAAGTTAGCATTTAATAAGATATTGGTGTGTGTGTAAGCCAATGAAATTAAATTCTTATACATTAAGTTAGCATTTAATAAGATATCATTAAATTTTTCCTGTGTAAGTAGATTGCAGCAGATTTCAAAACCCATATTAAATTTCTGTGGGAAGCTTCATATTCCTGTTACTTTTTCAGGACTTCAGAATGTGGTTCCACACTCTCAAGGGAGAAGTACCAGAGTCTATACATAATCAGCATCCTTCTGTTATGTGTTGTTCGCTGCTGACCAATGTATTTGATCAGAGTGTGGCAAAGAGATTAGTTACCTGTCTTTTGGCAGCACTACGCGCCAATGGTGAGTCATGGTTCGCTTACAACGGTATGGCACTGTGTGTACTGTAGAAGGTGGCTCTGATTAAGACTTTGTTTAGACATTGCACTTAAATAATATGTTTCCTATTTGGGAAAGTATGGTGTTTGAATAAATATGGTAGAAGATACACTGGAGCTGTAATATAACAATCCTTTCAGAAGCAGAAGGGCATTAACTGATTTACATGGTCTGAAATGGATCCACGTTATTCAAAGTCTTCACTGCTATAGTAGGAACCTGTGTATTTAACTTTATCAGCTGTTTGACAAGAAATACTAAACTGTGTAAATACTAAGATGAGTTATCTAAACTTTTGTTTTTAACTTTGACTGTCTTTATTTAACAGTGCCAGTGAATTAAATAATGGATGGTGAAGACAAAGATATGCATAGAAAGTTTTGATATGGAAACTACTTTGGAAGAGGCTATTTGAAAGAGTTAGGAGGAGGTGGGAGAATTTCATAAAGAAAGATTTTAGATTTTGGGTATGAGGTGGAGGATTGTGTTTGTTTGTGGGCTTTGTTTTCCATTTATATTGACAGGTTGTCCTAAAAAAATTTTGTATACAAATTTAGTGAATGAAATAGACATTTGAATAAACTAGACCACTGCATACATCAGCATGGGTGAATCTAGTGTAGGTGTTCAAAATGATTATTATAAGCTTAGTGGCACAGTTAACAGCAGTGAGCAACTGACTAGTGGGCACCATATTATAATGTGTATATAAAATTTTTTTGGGACATGCTGTGTATATGATTGTAACAATTAATTCTTTTTTCCTCAGGTTCATTTGGTGTGCATGTGCAAGTAAACTCCAAGGATCGATATATGATCGAATTCTATGGCAAACTAGGTTTCTTGGAACTTAGCCCTGGTCTCAGCCCTGATACAACGTATGTGGGACGAGCATTTTGAACATGATCATCATTCCAGTTTGATCCTTGTGTACATTGAATATGTGTATATAGAGTGCAGAAACCTTTATTCCAGTTGTGTGATTCATACTGATAGGATAATTTGTTTGACAGCAGTACAGAACTTTGTGTTGTGTTTCCAGTCAAGTTACTATATTCTTGCACAATATCAGAACTCTCTTATCTGTGTAATACTGATAAGTTCGGTTACCAAGCCAAGCAAAAACAAATTTTGGAGGTGTAAGGTAGCAGATTTACAAATCATATAAAATTGCCATTCTTCGCGATTCTGTAAAACTGTTTATCCACAAAGGTTGTATCGTGGCATTAATTGATCCTTTGAAGCACTATAAATGAAGATTGTATCTACTGAAGGAATTAGCATTGGTTCTAGAGTATAATTGGTGTGACTAGGGAGATTTCCTATACAAGACGACTTTCATTACTATTATCCACGGGAAACAATAAAGGAATTTGAATGTGGACACTTCCATTTCAAAATACACAATTCTTTTACTGGAGTAAATGCAAGCACATAACAAAACCAATTTATTGGTAAAGTTTTACTGTTTTACCATTTTCTCTGTTCATTCAGTCATCTTCATCCATTAATGGAGATTTCTGCCAAAATGTCATCCACAAGAACTAACCATGTCACTGTAGGATTTGAGGTTTTCGTGGCTGTGAGTCCGAAAATGGCTAACTACTGGGTCGTAGCGCAATGTGGTTTGGTAGAAGTTTACCGACATTTTAGAGGTCCTTGCTGTCTCCATCATCAGGGTGATGAGTTTCCATGTTGATGGAGGCAGTGAGGACCTCTGAAACATCGATTACTTCTACCAGACTACATGGCGTTGCAACCTAGAAGATGGCCATCTTCCAACCATGTAATGTTTGGGATTTCTTGAAACCATGAACAGGTCCTGTATTCCAAACATGAAGTACTCAACTACACTGGTAGCTGACTGGCAGGAGGGAAGGGGCTTGGGCACTGTAATAAACTGTTGTGAATTTCCTAGCCTAATTCTTCTTCTTCTTCTTCCAATTAGTACAAAAAATCACCTGGAGAATATGGTAATGTGTATTTTCCATTACAGATTTTTTAATATGGAAAAATTAATTTGTCCTGTGTTTGAAAGAGTGGTTCTAAATATTGTGAAACAGTTGTGCTTTGTCCTCTTATTAATTAATGCTTCAAAGACTTAACCAGAAAATACATTTTTACCACATAGTGTAAGTGTGCATGTATGTGCATTTTTTCAGCCTAAAATCATAGCAATTTTTATTGTATTTCTATAGTATAAGATTGTTCAAAATGGTGGGAACTGCCAGTCAGTAGCATTTGGATTTGGAGCAGAGTGCAGAACAACAGTGTTCATGTCATGGGCAAGTGCTAACATTTGTCTCACTAATGAACTTCTCTCATAATTGAATTCATCATGCAGAGAGAAATGATTCTTATTATATCTATTTCTGATATAATACAAGTGTTTGGCTGAAGTTGTTATTGTACATTATTTTCACAAAAATGTACGAAATTAAGAGACACACTGTGCTGTCTTGTCTGCTCAGAAGCTTCAGGTACAAAACTGCTTGATTGATCCACACTGAAGGTTATCAGGGAAGTAAATTTGTGTTCATATCTTTCCAATACAACTCCTGCAAAACATGAAACAGAAATGAAATTTATGATTTTCTGAAAACTAGCTTATTGTACAAAAACATTCATGTGTATAATTTGTTTTACTCGGTGCAGTATGTCAGTACTGCAGTAGATTTTTATTTGTGCTAAATGAACATCAAATCCAGTGAGATATTTGAGGAACTCATATAGAAAATATGTTTACTTTAAATTTGATTATACATTTGACCTCTTAGTGTGAAATCAAATCTGTCTTCTGAGTTAATATATTTCTTTGATCTGTAATTTTTGTAATATAAACAGTTTTCTGTGGGCTGTTGAGAATTCACATTAAACTCCTGTATGCCATAGTTGGGGTGAGTGCTGATACCCCCAAACATGTTACACTTACACTGATTACATATTAATTTTGGGACACTTGGACTATATAGCTTTAAGGGATGTTTCATTGTTCTTGATAGTTCAAGAGTGTCGGCAGGTCATTTACTTATCTGTAATGTGAAAACAATCCTGAGTTGTGGAATTGGCTGTTTTTCTGTTCAAATTTCAGTTGTACTGGTCATGAAGTCTGATAAAGATTTCTTCATTTCACTGTAATTGTATTGCACATTACCCACTGAAGGGGTCAGTTTCCATGAACAAAAAAATTGGCCCTCATTCAACATGTCTGGATGTAAGTTCCATATGGGCCCATGTACTTCGGAGGGAAATTTTCCGAATGTATTGAGTTTATTGAACTGTGTGGAGTGTGTTTGTATGCATACACACACATTTGCATGTGCTCGTATGTGTATATACATACACGCAGATGGTCCCTTCCGAGCACTTTGGTTATTGTCAGAATAATAAAGCAGCTCACCTGAAGATAGAATGGCACCAGATGAAACACAGTTGACAGTGTGTGACATAATTATAGTATAATGAGTTGACCATTCTCATGAATATTTAGAGAATGTATCTTGTTATTTCTGCCAAATTCTTTATTGTGGCTCATGGTGTTGGGTTTTGATCCCAGTTTATTTTTTTTTTGCTCATAACTTGTGTCTGCTGTGGTCTTTTTTGGTTTTATCGGTTTCCTATGTTTTTTTTATTGTGTATGTCTAATTAAATTTTACAGAAAAAGTGACAAGGACACTCTCTTTGGATGTAAGATATAAATTAGTATTCTCACCCCAGCTGTTTGGTTAATATCTTGAGCATTAACTATAGTACACAAGAGTGAGGAAGTTCCTGGGATGTATGTGACCAAGGAAGTCACATGCTACACTACTAGAAGACCAGAAAACATTGTGCTTGTTCTGATTTGGGATAAACTTTACTGGTAATAATTTAAAATACTGCGTGTTATAAAATAGTCAGAAAAAATAAAACAAGTAAATGAATGATGATGCTATGGACAGCAGAGCCAATGAAAATGATAAAGATGTGCACTCAGGAGTAGGGGGTAATGCATTGTGTATATCATCACTTGCCCGCCAGGGACTTTCACTCTTGTGGTCAGTACATAGATGCATTTGCCAGAGAGCCGCTTTGTTTTTATCACCATAACTTTGTTGACTGAATCCTTCTACGTATTTAGTATTAAAGAGTTAGTATTTAAGTTATGTGAAATTGATACTTGTTTTGCTGTTTATGTCAGTTTCATTGAAAAATTATAACAAATTGTAAGGCTTGGCAAAGACAGACTTAACTATGAGTGAATATGATTTTGAAAATGGCGATATCACTGCCAGCTGCTGTAGACACATCTTGTAGTCACTCACTGTAACACCAAAACCTCTTTGAGCCTTTTACTTTCTAGTAAGATAACTTCTCATTTTTGTTTTTTTACAAGTACAGGTTAAATATATTCACAACATTTGTGTGAACACTTGATTTGTATTATCTTATAATACCATGATATGTGTCATGGTTCATAATGTTTCTGATATTATGGAATTCTTATGACATTGAATGTAAGAAGACAATGTGGTCCCTGCAATGTTCGCTCATGCGAGTTCCATTTTGACTGATTCTTCTGTGTTCTTTGTACAGACTCTGTAGAATGAATGCATAATGTAGAGATCATGCCTGTCTGTTCATCTGTCTACATTTTATCCCTAAAATTATGTGCCTGTAGTGGAAGTTGTTAGGCAAGTTTTGTTTTGGTTTCTGTCTCACCAGTGTAAGTTTTACTTTATATGAAATGAAAATCAAACATTACCATTTTCTAAAATTGGTTCATCATAAAAGTATGGTGTGTTTTTAGTAAAATTCAGGGAACAATAGTTGATGACTTGTATGTTGTGTGATCACCTTTTCTGAATTTATTTGTACATGAACACTATGGTTGTACATTTTTATATTAACGTCAAGGCCAGTGAGGTATGCAGAATCACAGCAAGGGACATGGTGATTTAGGAGCAGGACAGACTACTCCTGTGTCAAAGGCTCTGGGTTCAAGATTAGCTGGATCCGTTGCAGATTTTTCTGTACGCTTTCCCTATTTCTTGCTGAGGGCAAACTCACAGCGACGACCCTCTCATGGTTCTAATTCATTGTTAAGCTATATGTGCCTTGTTCTGCCCATTATCACCACTTCTTCAGTGTGAGTGAACAGTCTCGTGCTGTAGGTACTTCCATGGCACAGGTGGATTCCTTCCGCTTTGCCATCCTGGCAGAGGCCACAAAGCTGAAAGGACCATGACTGGAGGCATTTGAATAACTTCACTAATTGGAGTTTATTATATTGCCTGGACTCTCAGTTATGTTAGTACATCATCCTAGACTTATTGTAGTCTTTAGTTTAAATACCATATTGAAATAGTAAAAATTACTGATTTTCAGGAAAATTTGCTGCCTCTTCATGATATTGAAAGGAACACCAGGTTCATCTGAATTGTTATCATTTTGACAATGGTATATCCAGATTATTCAGACATCTGTGAATGCAAGTTTCATCTAAGTCTTGACCTTTTGTATTATAATTTCAGAGCTCATCTTGGTATCCTGTTTGTATCCCTTCTTCTAACACATCATCTCCAACTGCTTCAGTACGAGCCTGCAAAGGCTCAGCATATGTAAAAAATCTCCAACTGTTTCAGTACCAGCCTGCAAAGGCTCAGCATATGTAAAATAATTCCAATTAAATATTGTGTTAATGATTTTGTTTTAATTGTTCAGGAATTAAACTTTACATTTACTACTGCTGTTAGTGTAGTGTTTTGCCTCTTCCACCAGGGAGCAGTGCCATGTATTGCAAAATTGGGGACATGGCAAATACAGAGTTTTGATCTAATTCACATAGTTATGTAGTTTTAACTCTTGGTGTAATCAGTTGTGGCACTAGAAGGGCTAATAAATACTGATTATGCCTTTTCGTCTTCCTTTCTTTATAGATTTTTCATGTAGTTATGTTCTATGACTGATCGCTTTACTGAAGTGGTAGTGGTTCCATATTCAGCATAGTATTGGATTGACAGTAACTATTAATCATTTGATTTGCTAAAGAAATATGCGAGTGTATAAGTGAGATTGTTCCTGTAGACATGAATAATGTATCATACCAATAAGTAGTTTAGACATGATGTTGAAAAGCAGAAATTTTTTTTGGCCAATTTGTTGAGCTCTGATGATTTTCCCACATAAAACCCAGAAACTTCAAGTATTCTATTGGAAGGTGAATTGTTTATTATCAGGCTATATAGAGTTTAGAGATGTGAGAAGAAGAGCAGTTTTCTATAGTTCATTATGAATATTTATTCTTAATTAAATATTTGTTTACAATCTTTGGGAAAGGTTTTACTTAGGTCTTGTTTGTACTTCTGGTACAGTTTTTAATGTGTTACATGACTTAATACACTTTCCATATTTTTATGAAGAGATTGCACCACTTTTGTACTTCTTAGTTTCGTATCATCAGTGATACTAACGTGATTGTCATGTGCAGTTGGAGGTCAGAGCTATTCGAGCATGAGTACTAATTTAGGATCTAGAAATGTTCTGTGCTAATAGATCCTAGAAAATAATACACTTTTGTTAGGTTCATTCTTTTGTGGATTATGAATTAACAGTTCGGTAGGCCCTTAAAACCCTACCGGCTTGAAAATTATCATTAGAAGCAAGTATTGACTATGATGAAGACCTTCCAGTTTGTGCAGTATGGGATTTTAATGGGTTCTTTTGATATGACACAAAACAAAATATTGAAAATGTTGCCTCAAGAAAAGGTGCATAATTTTTGAAGGTCTGTTACTGCGCAGAATATGATGTGTGTTTTGGTAGTGATACTAGGGCTAGTGCCAGCTAACAAGTTCTCGTCGCTGATGGTCTGGGATAAGAAAGTAGAAAGGTGGGATGGCTGCTAGTGGCATTATGTTCTTATTAGATTTAATGAAAATCTGTTACTTGATTTAATAGTTATGGACACACAGATCTGACAATACCATAAGCCTTCTAGATTTAATGAAAATCTGTTACTTGGTTTAATAGTTATGGACACAGATCTGACAATACCATAAGCCTTTTTATCTTTATAAAATAAGGAAAATAAATTGATGTTATTATATTCTGTCATCAGCATGAAAGGTGAAAGTCATTGTAAATCCTTCAACATAATGCCACGCGATGTTTATCAAGAACATACATAAATCTCGACTGTCTTCTGTTTTACCATATAATGACACATCACTATGTTTCTATGGAACAGTAAAAATTACTTCTGTTTCAGAAGAACTAGCTGCCTCCTAATTCAGGATTAAAATGACCCTGAGGAGGGGGCAGACAGTTTTTCTGAAGAACAGTTAATTTATACAATGTTGACACAATGCTGTACACAGAATATAAAGACTGTTGTGAACACATCTTAAACTTGACCTGCTTTTGTGTTCTCTAATTCCAGGGCTCAGGGATCCTGTTTATATCCATTTTTTAAACATGTAATCTGTAACTCTTTTAGCATTGGTGAAGCTGTTTATTGTTCCTGTTTCTCTATTGTTCAACATCACTTACGATTATTTTGGTGTTAAATTATGTGTATACAGATGATGCACGATATTTAGCTCAGATAATGCTCAAATTCTGTCCTAAGAATAACATTTGTTATCATCATATATCTTGCATGAAATGGAGACATAAATCTTTTCCTCTGAAATGTAACGTAGTTAAAAGATCTGATATTATTCTTTTCTTCCAGTAGATGTATGTAAGCATATCAAATCTGTAAAATTTGAGATTTTCACAGCGGTGAGTATGAAGATTTCTGTCTTCTGGGTTGTTGCGCTACTACCACCAAGATCTGCACCGATGGTGGCGGCACCAGGTGGGCTCGCGCCCTGACCCTTCCGCACACACCGCCGCGCCCTCCTACTCGCCGGGGCTTCAGCGTAACTGCCTTTGCCTTCTGGCGGCCGGGTATAGGCATGGAGCTTTAGCGCCATCCATTTTCAGGGCGATGATGACAGAGGCAGTATGACCTCTGAAACGTTGGTAAACATCAACCAGACTACACAGCACAACAACCCAGAAGACAGAAATCATCATATCGTATCTGCTGTTGACAGAACTGAGTGTTGAAACTAGCAGAAGGTGTGTATTTGTGGCAGGTCTGCTCTTAGCCATATTGGCCAACGGTGAATTATCAGACGTAAATGATATTCTCTTTTATGAATATAGTTGGATGGTATAATTGGCACTTATGTATGCGAGGCATGGAGTGTATGGTCAGTAGTAACTACTGTTGATAAGTTTGTGTGACTGAACATGTGTTTGTGTGTATGGATTGATGTTTCATTACAGTTTATTGTACAAATGAAGACTTTCAGTACTGTAATTGGTTGCTGTTCCATTATGGGGCTGTACAGACATTCTGTCTTTACTTCCGTTTGTATAGTATAAAAATAAGGAACTCAACATGTTAGTGAAAACAGAATAAATATTTACTCGTTTGCATTTCATAAAGAACCTTCAGTCTTATGTAGTGGACACATGGGAGGTAATTTGTGACCATCCATTTGCCTTTATGTTTATTTTTAAAATTACAGCCAGATTTTGGCTATTAGGTATTGCGTATCTATCCTGAAAGTTGTCGGGCGAACGAATTTTAGTTTGTATTGGTCCATTATAACTCCCAACTTTATATGAAGCTCTAGTCAAACTTAATCAGTTTGTTAAAAAATGGATCATTATAAAAAATGAGTTTACGACATACAGCTGTCATTAAAATTACAACGTTCATTTGGAACATTTTTTGATGTGAACAGCAATCTTTGAATTATACAGAAAATACTTTCTGACAGGATATTTAGTAGACTAAATTTTTTTATTAGAAGAGTAATTTGTCTGTGAAGTAATATTTGAAATATGTTTAGTTATGCATCTGCAGTAAATGAATGTAAGGCCATTGATGTATGCAAAATGTCAAAGAAAGCAACTTTAAAATATTTGTAATCAAAATTTTTAGTACACATTTACATTCTTTGTTTTATAAAGAACAATGACAAGTGATTGATGGCTGCATTTGGTATTTAGTGCCGTGTGCTAGTGAGACTTTTTTTTGCCTGACATGACGGTGGAGTTGCCGGTATATTTAGGGTCATAATGGGGTGGGGGCTGCCTGTGTTTGTCTTTGGGAGCAGCAGTTCTCTTTGTCACATTTTAGTGGGTACATTACAGAAATAATTTCTGTATTACTGTAAAGAATTTTTTCCTGAAAACTGACAAGTCCCGTTCACTTTTACTAGCCTCACATGTGACACTCGACATTTAGGGACTCTAGTGGTACGATTTACCAAGTTGTAAATTTCTGCAATTGTGGTTCAACACTGACTCTGATATTAAGTCCCTTGGAATCAATGTTTCATTTTTGGGGCTGAGCATTTAAAGGAAAGTCAGATGAGGTCAGTGCAAGTTTATCTCGGCTCCATTTTGGTGAAAAAGAAGAATTGCAAAAGGCAGTGTCAAAAAGACTGTTTTTGCATGGTCTTCATACCGTGATCGAGCGAGTTGGGAACAGTGTAAACATGGAGATATTGTGTGGCAGAGTTGCCATCCTGTAAATGTGAAACTTTTGTTACAACAAGTGACTTTATTTTCAAGGTGTACGTTATTTAAATCTTGATTTAGTTACTGGTGTTTGTACTTTTGGATTTTGATATTGCAATTAGAGAAGGATTTTGGTAATATGGAGACAAACATGCCTGGCATAATTTATTTGTGAATCTGTGTAATGAAATTCATTGTTAAATGATTTTTCAGACTTCTTCCACTATAAGATTGACCAGTGTCTGCAACTGGCTGTATCAGTGTGGATCTCGTTTACTAGAAATCTACTTTTAATAAGTTAGGTGCAAGGTTATAGTCTGGGTGTGGTCAGTACCTATTGGGAGATGAAAGGAATAAAAAAAATACGGAGTTGGCCTTGATCTTTATTCCATGTATGTGTTTCACTTCATTTTAAAAAGAACAGAGTAGCTAGTTGTCTTGATAATGTTGCTCTGTATTTTGTATAAATTACGGAGGTGTCTCTTTGATTGGCAGATAAATGGAAATATTTAAAAATGTTATATTGTTAATTGTATTTTATTTCCATTGTGGGTGGAAACACTGAGATACTTTAACTTTATTAACATTTTGAGATTATTATATTTATTTTCCAATATTAGTCCTGCAAAAATAGTCATGTCCAATTACTTTACAAACTTCCATTTTTTATGAACAGTTTACAGTCGGAACAAAACCCCAAGTGCAATACAGTAGGTATTGTATGTATAACTGAAAAAGTTTGTTGTTTTGTGAAATTCCATTTGATAAATTACAGGTACCTAAGTAGTTTATGTGTAGCATATTTTGTTTTCCTTGTAAAGAAAATACAGCTTGTGGTTTTATTCATGTATGTTGTGGTTGACCACTCTCCCAAGAGCACTGGATCCAGTTTACAAATTTTCAAAAATATTAATTTAATCATAATCACTGGAACCTGCCGAGCAGTCGCTGAAGAGAGACAGAGACATCATCTTTTCCAGCTGTCAGAATTATCTTACAAAATGTTGAGTCCTTTTAGACATTTAGTATGATTTATTGGTTCGGTGATCAAAACCTGTCGTTCTGTTAATCTCACTTAAAGTGGTGCACCCCCATTTTAATAAACGAGGCTCTGGCATTTTTGCAAGTTTTTGTTGCGAACACGAGGGGGGAAAAAAAGGCCGGTGTGAGACACTCCCCTTTGTAACACACAAAGGTGTTGCTACTTGCAACAGGTCTCGATCACTTGTCCTCACATGCAACCTTGAGTACTATGCAATTACCGTTAAACTGTAGATCTAACATTCTTATAAAAATAGTTACATTTTCACTGTCTTTATGAAACTTTTATTTTGTAAAGAAAGCTATGGTGTCGAAGAAATATCTTAACATGATTCAACAGTCTGGTATGAGCTCAGTCCACCAAGGAAGTCTTGCAGTAACATGCTTTCTTTTCATTGTCAAGGCAGATTGTATGGTTGTCTTTATGCACGATGTATACAATATTCTGCCTGTTATCTTTGATTGTTTATTTCTTCTCGTGTATCAAAAGGTGTGTATATAGTTAAAGTTACATCTATAAGCCCACACATTCGTAACCTTGAAAAAAGATATTGGCAAGTTTCAGATGAGTGGCCATTGTCAGGCTGCCACCTTTTTTAACCCCATGGATAAAAAGTCTATCTGATAGAAGGCGTTGTGTTCTGAGAACCCTTATGGGGATTGAAAACTTTGAGCGAGGATGTTCGAACATCAGGACCTGATGTTTGTTTTGGGTTCTTCATTGAAATGCCCAGGTTACCGGTATATAGCGTCAAATGGGAGGATGATTGTGAAGTATAAACTGGGACAATATGGAAACAAGGCGACCATTTTCAAGTTCGGAATTATCGATATTGCCATTCGACCTGTATTTCGAGATGTCGGAGAGAAGTTTAGGTAATGGTTTCTTTGGACCGGTTCTGGTTAAGTGGGTTAGACATAAACATACAGGCCTTGTGGGCACAAGGGCATGTAGGTGAATGTTAAGAACACATCAGTTTGGTTCAAAGAAGAGACATTTTGCGAAACCGATACAGAATTGGTGAAAACTTGATTCCATAACTGACGCAAGAAACAGGCTACAGTTCATTTGTACATAAGGAAACCAGTCATCTGCCATATCATCGCTTCCAAAAGGTTAGTCAGAAATCATTAATTAATATTCGTAGCTATTGATGTATAATAGTAGGAATAATAGTGGGTTTATCAATTAAATTACTATTAAACTTATTTGTACCGCTAAGTGGTTCGAGTGTATAAGGAACAGACTGCATCTCTTTATACCTTACAGAACATAACCTTCTCTCACTAAAACAGTTTTTACGATGGAGTTCATGTTACGTAATCCTCACACTTGTAACAGAGAAAGCGCCATTAACTAATATCATAAGAACTTGCTGTGTATAGACACTTCTTCCAAAGAGCTCGCAAAATGAACTCATAATAAGGTTGTAGCATGTGCCTGTCTACTTGTTTTATCTCCGAAATGACTCCACAGGTTTTGTAAGCATTTAATGTTTGAGGTTTTGGCTGCACTAAAAGTTGTCGGTTGATTTTAATTTTAAGTTTATATTGTTCTTATGATATCTAATTTATATGAATCACAAATCGATGTTTACTGACTTTTTTTTTAAAAAAAAAGGCTCATTATACAAAAAACGAATAAATTGTTACATGTTAAAAAAGGTGGAAATTAGAAAATGGGATACCTGGTGCCTCTAGTGGTTCACCTCCAAATGTATGCTTCTATGCCTCATTTCAGTCTAAATTAAAGCAATACTGCACAGAAGAACGCTGAATATGTCGCCTAAAATGTGCAGCAACTTCTTCTACTCCAACGTCTTGCTTGTAATCTAAACAACTGGGGGAAACCGCAATGTTTCGTTCTGTGTTGGAAGGGGAAGTTACAGTTGAACTTCGTTGAAAGTCTTGACGCTCGTACTCTGGCTGTAGTGCATTTTATTTTCCAAACGCTTTTAATGAGATTTATTTGCATACTTAAATGACCTGTATGTTTTTTGCTGAATGCTGTTCTGAAACTAAACACACTACGCGTCACTAGACATTCTTTCTTGTAATTCGTTAACTCTTTATAAGTTAATATTAACTATGTAGGCCTTGTGCACCACCTGTTTTAGACTTCATATTTATGTCTGTTAAAAAGGTTGAAATTTAAATTAAGATTTACTTGAAGTGTTGGTTGTAACTGACATACATGCAGCAACATTAAGTTCTCCAGAAAATGTTAGTGCAGACCGAAATACCACGTGTTATCGAAATACGTCAAGCAGTTTCCCATGTACTGTGTATTCGGACGGACACACGTGACAAACCTGTTATGCATTAATTTTGCACTCTGTGCAACTAACGTAATTAACTCCTTCGAACAAAGAAAGTTTGATATGTTGACACTGAATAACCGGTGAAGGCGAGTCGACTTTAAATCAGTTATGTCATAGGTAAAGGTAAAGTTGTCCCTGGTGTCTAACTGAACATCACGCAATGCAGGTGTCTGAGGGAGAGGTGGTGTAGCTCTACTCATTCTTAACCTTGACAGAAGGCGGAGTTAAACAATTGTTTCGAGCACATCCTTGTCTGAGGAAACCTTCACGGAAACCGAAATTAGAACACGTGTACATAACAGAAAATAGCAAAACTAATATTTTGTGTCCCATAGACTTCCATGGTGTCATCTGGAGTAATGAAAAATTTTCGTATGTTGTGACTAACGGTCAAGAGATGTATTATCATGGCACGGAACAATGTCCGATATTCCTAATTTTTGTTTCTTTAGTCTTCATTTCGTATGAACATTCACCAGCAGGGGACTTTTCGATAACAATTCGTGAAACTCTAGAATCTGCATAATACAGTTCTAAATTCAGTGTATACATCATTCATATTTAGAAACGACAACCAACGTTAATATAACTTTATAGAAAATTAACATTTTTATCATAAATTTGCAGAGGTGTTACATATTTCAAGTGATGGTACTATACAATCAGTTTTTATTAACATGAAGTGATACATGCTTAAATATTCTCTTAACTTATTCATGTATGATATCACAAACACAATGTTCTTTCTTTTTTTTTTGTACATTTTATACTGCAGCAAAAACTTTTTAAGTAAAGGTCACTTTTTGATAGACCTATGAGAGCGATATTTACAAGAAAAACATAAATATGAAAAAAAAATATCTTAAACGAATTATGAACGTTCGCTGAACCACTAGATTGAACAGCTAAAACACATTTTGGACGTAATCGCTTGTTGAAACTCCATTAGTTGTACATACTTATCCAAATGAGGTGCATTTTCGATAATACAGTATCCCTCCCTACCGACAACGAAGTTACATGCGGTAATATGTTGCACACATTTAAATAAATAGCATTCGCTTCGCGTACAGTGTCAGATAGATACTGGATCAACGAATAAGTTGAGCTATGATTCGCTCATCCGTAGTGTTGACCGGCTTTGGCGTGGGCTGCTAAGTGGGCTGCCTTAGCGGCAGCTACCTCGGGGGTATCAGCAGGTACACCGTTCACAATAGCGGGTGCTCCGGCGTAAGGTCCGCCATATGCAGGGGCACCAGCTATGCAGGGGCACCAGCATAAGGACCTCCATATGCAGGAGCACCAGCGTAAGGGCCGCCATATGCAGGAGCACCGTCATAAGCTCCACCATACTGACCACCATAAGCACCATGATCTGGTGCAGCCGCGGCTGCAGAAGCAGCAGCGCCATAAGCGGCGAAGTGGGCAGCTTTAGCGGCGGCAACTTCGGGGGTGTCGTGGACGGGCAGGGGTGCTGCGTGGGAGCTGGGGGCAGGACCTGGACCGTAAGGGTACCCAGGGTACCCATGCTGACCATGTACCACGCTGGCAGCCACCAGGCACAAACATACAAACTGGAAAACGTGAAGGTGTTATTTTAAGAAAGAAATATCTGCAGTAGTATAGAGGCATGCCCCATGCCCCTGGATAGTTTAATCGGTAAAGTGACAGGCTACCTTCTGTTTTGAACGGATGAAGTGAATGTTTTCTTTGCCAGTGTGACCAGACCGTTTTTCGGACCTACACAGTCTTCTGTTCAGTGGCTACTAGGGACATTTTTCTGGAGATAATAAGACCTCAATATGTAACATCACTTATTACAGATTAAACTTTACATATTTATCATGTTAATACTGTAAGGGTAATGCCAACAAGTGCCAATTATTTTAACATATTCAGCTCTATGTTATACATAGATAAACTACGCAAAATATTTGTGAGGATAATTAAGATTTTATGAGCTCTTAACTCGAAGTTTATGAAATTAACGGAGAATAAACTCACTCGAAGTTTATAAAATTAACGGAGAATAAAGTTTCTGAGCATGAAATGTAAATCATGCTGATGTGAACGATTATACTGAAGTCACGGAGGCCATGGTTACCATGGTAATATTCGTTATGACTCATGTAGAAAATTGTTTACCGGAAGTGAATAAAATCATGTTAAGTTTTTTTATATATTTAATTATTTTTTTAAAATAAAGTAGGTTAACGCAGAGCAAATAAACATTAACATGAAGAAGTTACAAATTAGCGGTATTCGAACCTGAAATTGTGCTATTTACTAGCTTTCTGAAGAACATTTATTGATAAATTTTCTATTCGCTGTTTGTGTGTGTTTCTCCAATAAAATGAACATAAATGCCAATTAAAGTATGCGCAGTCGCAGAGAACGTGTTTATAAAATGTGTGTAAGCTGTTTTAAAATGAACCTTTCCACTCGTACTTAAAATGCATTTGTATGCGTTTATATTTTTGTAAGCTGCTCCGTTGCCTAAAACAGAGCAGACGATTTCTACGTATTTGGTGTTTATATTATTTATTTCGTAGACCTCTGTTCTGTGAACACAAATAAGGACTACTTAATCATACGGATAAGGAGGCCAAGGCCCGACTTCGGGCTATCGCGCCATAGAATAAGAAGAAGAATCACACGGATTGTCGAAAAGCGCTGGTATTAATTTCGGGATTTGTGAACTGTCTGAATAAGCACTTTTAGTGCAGACTGCGAGCTCGGAAAAAAAGTTTTCCGAATTGAGTATCTAAAGTAGACTTTTATTCCTATTTAAAATAAGTAGACCTTGTGGTGTTTTGAACAACAACGACAAGTGAACTGAAGATCAGATCACCTAAAGTAAGATTGGAAAAGCGTATTCCGATTCGTAGTAGACTTAAATATATTTTTCAAATAGTTACCTTTTTTGCAATTTTGCATACCACACCAGAGTTGGTATTTATTTACATTCGGTACAAGTCTATTTTTTGTAAAGCTAATCGTTCTACACATATCAAACCATGTGGACTTACAAATTACATTTCTTTGCATACTGCAGACTACTGACATTTTTTAAAAATAAATGTTGTAGTTCTTAATGACATCTGTAATTTATTTTAACTGTATTTATTTTTAAGATGAGCCATTTTTGAAAGAATAAATGTGATATTGTATCTGAGGTTCATTTAAATTGGAATTGTACTGGACCAATATAGAGTAATATCGGCGATACGTTTTTGAGGTTTATGCCTCAACTATCTGGCTAATGAGTGGCTGACTCACTGATAGGTTGTGCTGTGTTCAAGTTTATGGATTACGACTGGACCACAAAATCAAGACATAAGATTTTACTTGTCTCTTTTCCAAAATATTAGCAGGGCTAACTCGGTTTACACGAAGATATTAATTTTTCCGACCGGTTTTCGTTCAGATTCACCGTACCATATTAATTTATGGATCATATGGGGAGGCAGATGCCTCATAATTTTATTTATAGTTTGTGCAAGAACGTATAATAAAAAGTACAAAACTGAGTTATTACTGAAACTTCAAATTATGTTATCAAAATCCGCTTTAGTTAAAAATAAATTCCGTATCACGTTTAAGCAATGGTTTCAATGATGTATAATTTTAATGTCCTGCCGTGGTATATTACCTGCAGACTCTTGGTCATTGTCGTAGTGCTGTCGATTCTGCTGCAGAATGAACTGTATTGTCCCTCATATTAGTGGCTCCTTTATATACTAGCATCGTGCGCTATCACAAAGACAGTTTGTCCTTCGCTTTCATTTGTATAAAATATTTTAAAACTGTTTCATACCATACACCGTCCTGAGACACACCTTCTTCACCTTCCACCTCTCATTTTACTATCCCGCCCTACAGAAAGCAAGTCCCGTGTCCACGAGGAACTGGACAAAGGCTGAAGAGTTATGTCAGCAAATCAAACAGGATACGTTTCAGCTGAATCTTAGCTCCAAATGACTCTTTTAATTGTGTTTTAAGATTGGTTAAGTTTTATAATATGTAGTGTATATTTATATTGTTGATGGACTGTTTAGATAAATTCAAACTGGATTATAGATTTCCTATTTAAATTAAATACATCTTTATTTTAAGATATCTTATTCTAAATGTTCTTTCATTTATTAACATTACCAACGTATAAACAAAATTTCGATGAAAAACTGAAGCCACTACAATTTTTGCAATTTAAGATATTTATGTGGTCCTATTGAATGCTCGCTAATAGTCTGATATCCTCGTTCAAGAATAAAAGTGGAAAGGTGTATTCCAGTTGGGGTAAATGGGTACATACATTTTTCTAAACGCGCAATTTGTGATTTTGAAATCATAACTAGACTTGCTATTAAATTACAGCACATAAAAATCTAACTCTTTATCCGATATCATTACACTTGTGAATCGTTAAATATTTAGAATATCGAAAAATATTAAAAATTTAAAGCCATAAAAATTTATGAAATCGGCATTTTATGTCATGAGCAAATGTTCTGTTTGACGAAATCATAAAATTTGATATGAACTACTAGTAGAATATGATTTGCAATGAACTGATTTGAACCAAAGTTAAATTCGACTTACAACTTTAGTCAGAACCCATAAATATTAGATTTAATCGAAATATGTCAAATATTATCGGAGATAAATATGCAGATACCCTCTTGTCTGAATTCACTTCGTACAATGTCTCTGAAGGGGACACGAAAATAATGAAATAAAGTACACAAGTTACGAATGGCATGCCGTGTAGGAACCTCAGCGTTTGGCAACTTAATTCATCCGCTCCTGAAGACATTGCCGTGCGAGTTATTTTAAATAAAATATTACGCTAAAATACCTGTCCACTATCTATGTAGAAGACTGTGAAGGACACATCCGGAAATTGACTGCGGTGCTTATAATACAAAAGGCCAACCTCCGTTGTAGTATCTTTATGGTTATTATCCTTCTTGTTATTTTAATTTCACATGAATAATTTTCTCACCTGTGACTTATTTAATATAAACTATTATGTATGCGTAATTAATTATCCGTGTCTGCATTGCAAACTAAATAAAACAACTAACCAAGCAACTAAAGCATTTTAGATCGTGATATTCTTTTGTTACGATGGCACGTGGTCTTGTAGGATGTTATAGCCTACCAATGTTACGGGGAAACAGTTGACTATCAACAAAATACAATAACTACTGGTTATTAGCTTTTGCAACTTACAAGCTAACTACTCTGTTAATTAATCAACCTGCAAACTAACAACCTCTGAACGAAATGAATTAATTGGCTATCCACAATTAATTAACATAATAATTAACTAAATATTAACCATTTAAATAACTAGGCTAAAAATTGACCAATTAAGTAACTAAATATTAATCAATTAACAACCTAAAGTGAGTAGCAACAAAGTATTTAATGAGTAATCGAGTAGTCAACTAACAAATTTATGCTATTATTAACTATCGCATTCGCTAGTCAATTAACTAATTGACAGCTAAGTAAAGAATTGAGTAGCTGAGTGACTGGCTAAGTAACTAACTGACACCGTGGTGCCGACTACTCCTTAGGCAGTCGATTTATTCGGTTGCGCAAGAAACGTCGAATGAAACCAGCAACGCTCGGGTACCAACGTGACAGTGACTGTGGCCGATGGCGAAGGGCTGCACTGCACTTGGCAATCACGTTCCAATGTCGCGAATGTTTGTGGCTCCTAAAACGCTTTGAGCTTACCTTGACTCTGCAGTTTACGGTATGTTGAATATCTGGTTATTTCCTGAAAGGAGCACGTGTTTCATGAAGTTAGAAACATCGGGAAAGGCACCATACAATCCAAATACCTTGCGTTTCTAGTCGGATTATTTGTCCATTTCAGAGGTCGATAGATTTTGAGAGTATCGCGTAGTTACAGATATCGAAATTGTCTCTTAAAGCCTGGTCGATTAGTATAACTTTCACACAGTGGACTCTTCTCTCACAAACGAAATTATGGACGTAGGATTTGAGGTGTTCACTCACACACGAAATTATGGACGTAGGATTTGAGGTTTTCACGGCGATGGATTTGAAGATGGCTGTCTTCTGGGTTGTTGTGCCGTGTAGTCTGGATCATCCCAGATGATGGAGGTAGCAAGGACCTCTGAAACGTCGGTTAACATCTACCAGACTACACGGCGAAACAATCCAGATGACAGCCAACTTCGAAATTATAGATACCGAGTCATGTTCTAAATCTTCTGTAGAGGAAATTCAATTACCTTGACTCAAAAACCAAGCAACGATGGTATAACAATTACCTTCAGTTTGCAGGAACAGAGCAATGGCGATATATAAAATTGAAGAAAGGCGTTGGTCTGTTTGGACTTTCTTACCATGCCTTTGCCTTGAGTAACAGAGGTGAATCAAGAAATACATATGATAACATTTGGTATCTGGGCCGATATTCGAACCCGGGACTTCACGAATACGTAACAGGACAGCGATGTTTTGGGCTTTGCTGAATAGATAATATTGAGTTATCGAGCAGAGAGAAATTTTGCACGGGGCATGTCAATTTCAAGAACCACAGTTTAGGGCGCGACCGAACGAAACATCGATGTCAAATCCATTATTTATGGCTGGCCTTGTAATCCTGGGGTCTCGGGTTCGATTCCCGGCGGTGCCCGAATTTATAACGTGTGTTGGGCAAGGCCGTGGTCTAGGCAACACGGAGTTTTCCTCCGGGGGCTTCCCCGGTTTCTCCGTGGCCTCCCAACAATTACTCCATTCACACACAGAAGAAGGCAATGTCAAACCACTTCTGGATCATCTGCCAAGAACGTATATGAACAGGTCCCAGTCCGAGAAAAGGATGGAAGGATCCTGTTCATATGGACCTGTCGTCAGACAGAACACTACATAATATTTGTGTAAAACGGTCTGACACTACAGGAATGACGTGTACAAATGTGAATTTTTATTTTGTGTTTATATGTTCAAAGCATAAGAAAAACGTTTTAAAAAGCTGTAGATCTGAATGGCTCCTATAAATGTTAGTATTGTGTATAATTTATTTTCGATGAGGTACGTTTAGAATATTGTGATGTTTGTTTAGAACTTCATATAATATAGTGATATTGAGATTCTATGAACCAATACCAAATTTATCCTAGACCTTAAAATGTTTACCCCTAATCCGAAATGCATTTGAAGCATTTTACATTGTTCCTGACATGAAACATGTAGGCGGAAAGACAGGCTCCCTCTTTCGAGTTCATTTCAGACACTCCGCGCAAGAAATATATGGAAGTGACTTACTACATATTTTCAATGGCTAAGTGCCACTGCAATTATGCAGTGAGTGTTGGATAATTCTAGCTGAACAGCAGGAGCGTTGAAACGTTGAGGACTGGACTATACGAAAAGGATTAACACTTCTCGGAATTATATTGTGTTTAATGATTGCTAACCATGTCACATAAAAATAATTTATTCAAAACAATCCATAATACATATATTCACTGTGTAAAAGAGTAAACAATGCAGTGTTGTTTAACACATTCTAATAATTTCATTGCACAAACCTGCCAAGAAGTAGGTTTGCCTAGGACATTCATCGTTATCATTTGTTAAACTTGTGATATTATAGAAGGTTGCTTTATTTATCGATCAGTGCTTTGTATTTTTTGTAAATTTTATAATGCAATAGAGATAGATGTACTAAATTAGAAAACTATAGAAAATATATGTGAACTATAACATATTAATACTTGCATAAATGTCGAAATATATTACTGAGCTAAAAATCAGTGCATCATACACTATTGAGATATTTGTACGGACTTAAAATAGACCTACACAAATAATGCCAGTTACCATCAAAATATATTTTTAATTCTGTGTTTCATCTATTAAAAGTGGGCTCGAATGACTGGAAATTACAAATAACTGTTGTAAATCATTACAAATTTCCAAATGAATAGAGAAAAGTTTCAGTTTTATACCAGTAAATTATTGTGTGTTGCTACGCTTTAATGTGCATTCCGTAGGAAATTATTCAAGCGGTCGTATTTCTCCAGTAATACAGCATAGGCGAATGAACCAAACACGAAGTCATACTCAGGACTTTGTAAAATATACAATAAATATAATTTAATCTGTGCGCAGTATGCTGAATAGATAAATAAGTTGTCTTAACCGTAGTGATGCCCTCCAGCATGAGCATGCGCTGCGAAGTGCGCTGCCTTGGCTGCGGCAACCTCGGGAGTGTCAGCAGGGACTCCGTTCACAATGTGGGGCGCTGCCGCGTAATGTCCACCGTAGGCACCTGCGTAAAGACCGCCATGAGGACCTTCATGGTATTGTCCGTCGTCGTAGTGACCTCCGTAAACTCCGCCATGATATTGTCCATCGTCATAATGTCCGCCGTGATATTGTCCATCATCATGATGACCGCCATAAGGCCCTTCATGGTACTGTCCATCATCATAATGACCGCCATAAGCTCCACCATAATGACCACCATAAGCACCATGATCTGGTGCAGCCGCGGCTGCAGAAGCAGCAGCGCCATAAGCGGCGAAGTGTGCAGCTTTAGCGGCGGAAACTTCGGGGGTGTCGTGGACGGGCAGGGGTGCTGCGTGGGGTATTCCTGCGGCGTAGGGGTAACCATAGTACCCGGGACGAGCGTACGCCATAGTGGCAGCCAACAGGCAGAAGAACGTGGTCTGAAAAATACATAAGTTTGAAGTAGTATAAAAATGTCAGTAATAGACGATCTTTGCTGAATTTAGTTGATATTAATGAAAGTGATTAGTAATTAGTGTAGAAGTAAAGCGTCTGACTTTGATTTGGAATATCGGATGCATTGACTGAAGTTTTCCGCGGTCAGTCCTGGCGAGTGCCACGTTTAGTACTTCCACAAAGATTTCCCATTCGTAAACTCATATTTACCTTCTTGTTCCATTCGACGCTGCCTTAACTACATAGCTAATATATCAAATTAAATTATTTAAGGGCTGAAGAAAATTTCCTCCAGTGTGAGCGTTTAAGTTTTACAAATTTATTGTTAACAGGCTCTTTTGTCCCTCACTGATCCTTATGTCTGCTGTATATACAATAAGCCGAAGTTACATATTAAACTTAAGCCGCGAAACCTGAGAACAAGATTTTGTTTTAATTTAATGCATAAACAGATCTGTTCTTGAAAAAATAATAGCATTATTACCTTAAGTTATTCCAATTTTATTTCGTAAAATAAACACCACATCGGAAAGACGATTCATATAAAAACTATAATTATTAATGATATCTGAACTTTTATGTTGTACGAATTATTGTACCATAAGCGACATTTATACTGGTTATGTTCGATGTAAAATTGTAATATCTCTCACTAATTATGAAGTAAATATATAAATACTTTTAGAACAAGGTGTTAACATATATCGATGGTATTTGATCAGTTTTTCTTTGGATGTGTAATTGTATCTTACCTGAAGACTTTTGCTCATTGTGAAATGAGAGCGGAGCTACTGGTATCCTTTCAGTATTTGATGCGAACTGCATTGTCTACCACATTAATGACTCCTTTATATACTTACTCCGGGTCATATCACAAAGACGTCGTGTCCTTCGCTTTCATTTCTTCCAAAACGTTTTTAAAAGTATTTCTTTGCCATGCGTCCGTCCTGAGACACACCTTCACCTACCACTCCTCATTTCACTGTCCCGCTATACAGAAAGCAAGTCCCCTTGCAGGGAGGGAGAACTCGCTGAGTAACGAGAGCTGATGTATTCTGCGTTAGTGACGAATTGTTTGATTATGCAGTCTTTGAACGACATATGGAAGCATGGTTGGGATGTTTTGTCTGACTGTCTGCATGCTTAAATTGATAGTACTGTCCTTAACCGCCGGGAAAACCTCAAATCTTTACATCAGATTGATTCTTGATTATCTAACAGAGTTGCTTTAACTCAAGAGGCTATAAGATGGTGTATAGGGCGGAATGAAATGGATATATGGTGAGCAGGTAAAAGTCGGGAAGGAGAATGTAGTGATATATTTCTAGTTTAAATCACGGAATTAGGCTGAAGACACTGGAAAGGCACAAAAATCTCAGCTAGAACGAACCAGGCTGATTTGAAGTAAGGACTCTCAGAATAAAATCGTAGAGAGTTACCGTTACAATAACTTGTTTGGTATTTGGCAGCTTGTTATAAAGCTGTAATAAATTTTGTCGAGTAAAATTATTTTCGGTCTGTGTTCGTTCAGTGTACAAAAAACATTCGTATGTGTCAAGTGTTACACGTGTCATTAAGAGACCTCTAACACTTTTCGATCTGATGTATGAAATTAAATTGTGAGGGAAATGAGAAATGCGCATTTCAATTGGAAAGCTGGAAGGGAAAAATCATTTGGTAGATCTAGGCTTAGATGGAAGGATATTATTAAAAATTTATCTTACAGGAATTTAATATGAAGATATTGGTTGAATTTAAGTGGCCCAGAATAAGGTTTAGTGTTTGGCTGTTGTGAGTCTGTAAGTGAAACTTAGGGTTCTATTAAAGGCGGTCTCTTTTGAGTAGCTGTACTACCAGGAAGGACTGTGCACTAAGAGGTTGGTTGGATACCCATTTAAATAAATACAAGACAAATATTTTGTATCTCAGTAGAGTGTCATATCTATGTTGTTCATAAACTTTTGAAGCAATTTGTATCTGAAGTAAATGGACTTCAAGGACAATGAGTTATGCAAAATAGCAAAGAATGCGTTTGTAAAAAAATTGTGAACTGTATTATAGTACGTTCCTCGCTTGTTCATTATGTAAGGAGCAGGGACTGGGCGTTCATGTTAAGCATGTTATCCCGGCCAGCACTTTGAAAAACGAAAAATAAAAGGCCTTCTGTCTTGCTTTGGTACTTCAGTGGCATAACCTATCAGATGAAGTGCATCGTTAGCCAGCTACAGCCACGCGCTAGTCGCGAGCGTAGCTGGCTGGCTACAGGCGGCTAAAGAAGTATTTTCTGAGATCGGTTTTCCTGCGTTTCAGTGTCGGTGGAATATGATTTTGTCTAATATCATTCCGGCTTTAAATGAATTCCAGATCGAAATATCCATTTCCTTAAAATGTATCAATTCATTAATTCCATGGAACAGAGCCCGTTAGACGCTTTAGTACTCCCAGTTACGTGAATGCGGTCCACAAATGCAAAGCTTTATCTCCTAAGATGAATTTCATTGAAGATTTCTGTCTTCTGGGTTGTTGCGCTGTGTAGTCTGGTCGATGTTTACCAACGTTTCAGAGGTCGTACTGCCTCCATCATCAGGGCGATGAGTATGAAGATTTCTGTCTTCTGGGTTGTTGCGCTGTGTAGTCTGGTCGATGTTTACCAACGTTTCAGAGGTCATACTGCCTCCTTCATCAGGGAGACACAGCGCAACAACCCAGAAGACAGAAATCTTCATACTCACCGCTGTTTAACCTCAAATCTTACATAGTTACAATTTGTACGTGGAATAAACTGCAAACCACAGTAATATCTGTAACTTTTGCCTGGAACAGGTAGCTTTTTAAGGAAATGCAAGGGAATAACATTTATTACTCTACGCTTCTCATTCGCTTATTGTGATTAACATGTAACTGCAGGTTTATATCTGAAATAAATTAACAAACATCATTACCAGTTAAGCAGACAAAATCACATCAATTATAGCTATTAGGAAATCCAATTTTAAAACATTCACAAATACTGACCAATCAGCTTTGCCCATACTTTTCTCTAAGCATACAAATAACTAACTATTCTGGTAGCTGTGATTTAATCAGTGAACGTACAAACGCCAATGGATCGGACCATACTCGAAGATGAATATTAACAATCTGTTGGAGCTTAAGACCACACTGTACTTTTCTTCGGTGTATGTAATTCTGTTAGCTAACTCATTAATTTGACCGGATACGAACTGAGAGACCGGGGTTCAGTTCACATTAAGGAAGGAAAATTTCTTTGCCAATACGGAAAACCGACTGTGGGCTCTAATTACTCAGCATTCTACCAAATTCGTGAGGGTAATGGGGCCGTAGCGTAAAGTTAATCTCCACCTCCACCTAGTGCCGAGGTACGGAATGCGTAGAGTTTTTCCACCACGCTATGAAGTAGATTTGGGGCTAGGTGATTCGAATATCACGTGGATTAATGACAAACATGATCGATAATTTTTGTGGTTTCAGTTTGTCAAGGCAAATGCCAGGAAAATAGCCGTTAAATAGGCCACGACGGTCGTTTTATGTAGCATTATCTACTTATCATTCCTTTCCATTGGTGTCTGATGGCTGGCTGGCAAGGTCTGAAGCGTGTTAGACGTACGGATGAAAACTGGCGATGGTAAAGAGTTTTCGACAGAGTAGTGCTACACTGACAGCACTGTGCACAGAAGTCAGTGCAGTTAGAGGGCGACTGCCATCTGGTACACATCTAATGCTGTTTGCATACGAAGTTTCAATAAAAATGCCACCAATGTGCGGTAGGCAATATGACGTACAGCCGTGTAATGTGTGTACGGCTACTACATACGCTCATCAGGCGCTCTGCTCTTGCAGGACCCTAATTTAAAAACGAAGGTTTTGAGGATCCATATTTAATGAACTTATATTATTGTTTTCGGATGACAACTTACCGCTAAAATTAGTACGTCCGATGTATAATCACTCTGTATGTATGTATGGCTTTTCTATTTTCAAAATCACTGATAAGCTTAGGTCTATATAAAACCCAAATCTTATATATTTGGTGTGGTTGTGAAATTTAGGTTCTTGCTTTTTGGGAAGAGGCAATTATAAATATTTGAAAGTGTTCAGGAACGTGTTTTAACTTCGCAGGGATAAAATCATTTGGAAATTCAGGATATAACATAGTAAAAAGCTTCGTGATTAATACAGGTTATATATTGCTGTAGGATAGTGGAGACGAGCATGAATAGAGGCAACAAGAAGTGCGAACAAAATTTTTGCAGGGAAACATGTCTGAAAGTAGATAGTTGGTAGATCGACAAAGAGAATGGAGGATAACGATGAGGTGGGGTCAGAAGTGGATGCAACTTCCTCGTGGGTTGAGTCTGTGGGCTGACTTTCGCATTTGTAATGTCTTGTCTTCAAATTTTATTGTGTGAGAACAAGACACGTAATAAGTTTCTTAGTTGTGTGGCGCTTAATTTAAAATGCAGCATTTAACAACGTTGCTCAGAATACTGTATCAGCAGGCGAAGGACTCGAGGGGAAGGAAGGTTTTATGATAACACCTTCTTCATCAAGAAAAGTTAGTCGTATTATGTAAAACAACTTTATTTCAAAGACGTAACTTAAACATTTATACAAATGTACATTATTTTACCAGTTTTACCAGTTACTGGTTGTTTGTTCATTACAGAACGTTATATATGCATACGAAGTTTATGATATTTATATTAAATATCGATCATTATGTTATAACTACATTAATATTTGCTTGTTGATATTTTTTCTTTTTCATTGTTTAGTCTTTTTTTTAAAATTTTATATTGCACGGAAGAAAACAAAGGTGAAAGTAAGAAAGATTGTAGTATGTGCAGGATATATTAAAAATAACATCGTTTTGGAAATTAAAGTCGCCATACATTGCGTGATTTGAGCTGTAGCATGAAAATGTGATACGTTAGTTTTAAACCAGATTTTTTTCATTCAAACCCAATGAAAGACCGGTAATCAGCGAGTTTAATTAGATGAAGAGACATTGACCAATACTACAGAGGCAAGAACTTGGATAAAATTTTAATAAATATCGTTTATTTTATAAAGTACTCAGCCTGTTAGCAAATAAGTCTGATGGGGTGTTGTCTTAACCGTAGTGATGGCCACTAACATGAGCATGAGCTGCGAAGTGGGCAGCCTTGGCTGCAGCCACGGCAGGAGTGTCAGCAGGGACTCCGTTTACAAGAACCGGGACCCCGGCAAGAGGGCCGTTATAGTGGCCACCATAATTACCGGCATAAGGTCCTTCGTGGTATTGTCCATCATCATGATGACCACCATAAAGCCCTTCATGGTACTGTCCATCGTCATGATGACCGCCATAAGCTCCACCATACTGACCACCATAAGCACCATGATCTGGTGCAGCCGCGGCTGCAGAAGCAGCAGCGCCATAAGCGGCGAAGTGGGCAGCTTTAGCGGCGGCAACTTCGGGGGTGTCGTGGACGGGCAGGGGTGCTGCGTGGGGTATTCCTGCGGCGTAGGGGTAACCGTGGCCAAGATATCCTGGCCGGGCAGACGCCATATTGGCAGCCATTAGGCAGAAGAAAACGACCTGAAAGGAAAGAAATATCGGTACAATGGAATCAGATTTTGTAATTTGATTTTGGGTTAAATAACGACGATATTAAAAATAAAAAAAATATAGACATGTAATCATTTCCTAGAAACATCTAAAGAAATTAAGCTTTGTTATAAGCAAAATAATTTTAAATATTAGTGAGAAGAATGACTAGCTTAGTTTATCTTATTTGTTTAGTCATACTTTTTTAAATGTTTCGTGATTTTTTTCAATATGTAAACGACTGTATAAGAATGTTACAATAATATTCTATTTGTTCTAAACATAAAATTGTAATATTTTCCATGGTATTGAGCAAGGAGATGCATAGATTAATACTCTTCTTTAGGGTCGGAAAGTTCTTGGTTCGTGTCCCGGCCGACCTCCTACAGCAACTTACAAGTTTAGTACTATTTAAAGTATCATAGTGTAACTTTCTCTGTCTTACCTGAAGCTTCTTGTACATTGCTGCAACGTTGCTTTTATTACCAGTAAAAGTCTAAGTAGGCAAGTAGCCTGATGGAAGTATATCGTCTCTCACATTGACGCCTCCTTTTATACTTCACCGAGTAATGCCACAGAACAGCGTTGTCCTTCATTTTGTTTCATCTGATTAAAAATCATTCAGAAATATTTCTATATCGCACTTACGTACTGAGACACACCTTATTTATGTTGTTTCACCTTCCAACAACACGCCCAACGTAAAGCAAGTGGTATTAGCTCTGATCTTTACATCAGGAAGTGGAGGCTTACTAGTTCCACTCTCCTTAGTGAAATTCCACCGTTCTGCTGACTACCTATTGTTCTCCGTCAGAGTCTACGTAAAACGAGCGACTCCCGAAACACTCACTTTAAGCACCCTTCAAGGTTATTGGTGGATAGGTTTTTGTTTGTAAGATGTTTGCGACTGTCAGATCTTCAAACCTGGTCTTGTGGTATTGCTAGGACATAATGAAATATGGGTAGATATGATGGGCTAGACTTGTAGCTAAAATGGGGGAGACGGGGAATAGCCTACGCAAAAACAGCTTCAGTAGGAAAATGTCGAATGGGTGTAGGTATAGTAGGCATGAAAAAAAGGCACATTACG